CGAAAGGGCGGCAGTGGATGCCGAAGAGGCGAGGGCTAGGGCAAAGGCGGCGAAGGAGGCCGAGCTTCGGTCTTGGGCGATGGAGTTGGAGAAGGCCAAGAAACAGGCCATAGCTGAGTACCGAAACTCGCCGGAGCTCGTGGCATTGCTGGACAAGGAGGTGATGGAGCAATGTGAGGATCTCATTTACCGGTTCAAGTACTTCAATGCCGATAAAAAACTGAACCTGAACTTCGTCCGGGATCCGCCGCCGTTGCCCGAGAGGGTAACCGAGGCGCTGGTCGAGGCGTACCTCGGGGGGGATGCGATTCCTCGAGCGGCTCAAAATCGGACGGTGAGGAGGAAGAATCGACTCCCCCTGCCGAGCCGTTGAGTGCCCGAGAGGATGAGGGGCCGGCACCGCCTGCTTCTGCTACCGAGGCCGATCCTCCAACTCCTTGACTGCTGCCCTACCTGTCTTTTTTTTTGTTGTAATATATAAAATTAGTGTTTGGATATTGAGGCTGTTCGGCCAATTTTGTAAAGACAATTGCCCAACTTGAGGCTTTAATCATATCCGAGTCTAATTTGAATCAGCTTCGGTGTTTGTCCTTGTTTCCGAATATAAGCATGTATGTTGATTTGTGTAGAAATAGGAAAACGACACTGCTATTGAAAGAAAAGTTGTACAAAAGTGTAGTGGCCGAAGGTCCAGTCACTTATAATAGAATTTTAAATGTTCAACATTCCAAGGGTGGCCGAGGGTTCGACCATCGGAGCCACGCAATCGGTAGGTGTCGGTTCGGCAGATGCTGACAATTTCATAGGGTCATTCCCAGAAGGGGCCTAGAGTGCCTTCGGTAGGATTTCTCATTGCGATAGACACTTTACGCAGAACCCAGTCCCCCACTTTGAACGATCGGTGTTTTACGCGCGAGTCGTAATACCGAGTCGTTCGTTGTTTGCAAGTGGCGTTCCGGAGCTGTGCTTGCGATCGGTGTTCCTCAATGAGATCCAGATTAAGGGCGAGCTGATGTTCAATCTGCTGAGGGTCGTAGGATGTCGTTCGGCATGTGGGCGCATGTACTTCCACCAGTACGACAGCTACGGTACCGAAGGCTAAGGAGAACGGTGTCTCGCCAGTTGACCTTCGGTAAGAGGTATTGATGGCCCATAGTTCCTCTGGTAGTATGGCAGGCCAATTGCCCTTGGCGGCTCCCAGCTTCTTCTGATGATCTTGTTGATGGCTTCTACCTGCCGATTGGATTGTGGATGTGTCGGTGATGTAAAGAAGATTCTGATGTTGAAACGGGAGCAGAGATGCTGAAACCCTGAGCAGTCGAATTGCTTGCCGTTGTCCGTTACGATGGCGTTTGGTAGGCCGAATCGGCATAGGATGTTTCTCCATACAAAGTGTTCGATCTCGGCTGCCGTTATTGTTGAGAGGGCTTCGGCCTCAATCCATTTGGTGAAGTAATCGACGGCCACGACCGCGAACTTAAGCTGACTCGTGCCCTGCAGCAAGGGGCCGATGAGATCCAGTCCCCATTGGGCGAATGACTACAGGCTAGTCATCGGATTGAGTGGTTCGGCAGGGACTTTCGATACAGATCCGAAACGTTGGCACAGATCGCATCTTTGCACAATCTGAGTGGCGTCAGCATTGAGAGTTAGCCAATAATAGCCTTGTCGAACGGCCTTAGAGGCCAAGGATCGGGATCCCGAGTGGTCACCACACGCGCCTTCGTGTATCTCACGCAAGATGTAGTCTCCTTTTGCCCCTGAATGTATTTTGACAGAAGTTTCTTCGTTATAACTCGGATTTGAGCCCACTACGTGTCTGCGGACTAATCTCGCTGCGCTCTACGCAACGGTATAACTGAAATCCCCAAAATTCCTTCCCGGTCAAAAGTCAACTTTTATACTATTAAAATATTGTAGGGGCCTAGAGCTATGGACACGTGTCATTTCCATGACGATTTGCACAAAGTCCTACATCGAAACTTTGTGCAAAACTTCCATTCTCACTTCTCTATAAATAAGGAACAGCCCAAGTAAAAAGGGTAATTATTTTCTCACATTTACTGTTACTCTGCCAAAATAACCACAAATAGCTTACTTAAGCATCGGAGAGCCTTCGGCAGGCACCACACCGGTGTCCAAAACTTGACGATTGCTTCTTCTTTCTTGTCTTCCGCAAGTTTCCCAGTTATCAAAGACCTTAACCTTCTCCCCTACTGAAGATCCAATACTCCCTACCTAAGTTGACCCTCCCCAAAAAGAGCATCAACAAGATCATTGAAATGTTGGATCAATGCATGCAAAAAGATTATGTTGACAATTACATCTTGTTTGGTTTTTCTTGTAAATGTAAAGGCTTAATTGTTACAGTACTCTTTCGACCAAAAATAAATAAAAATGGTTCAACTACTTCTGAAACTTCGCTCAAATCTCACATTGTCATTTGGAAGTTAACGTGACTCACTTTGCCCCATTGACTAATGTTTGGTATATCACTTCTCCCTTACCGTCAACTTCATCCCAAACTCTATTAAAAGCGATGAAGTGGCATGGTTATATTGGTAAATTTGTACAAATTAGCCATTTACTCCAATTAGAGTGGATGATATGGCAAAATAAAGCCCACCTCCAGCATGGATAAAAAATTATTTACTTTTAAATAATTGGGTCAATTCCAGTTTGTGTACCATGTGATTTCACTCATAAGGCATGTTTGCCCATATCCTCTCAATTTTAACAATGAAGTACCCCATCATTGGAAAGTTATTGCGTTGTGGCTTTGTCGTTAGGTTGACATCGGGCCAAGTTGGGCCTGCTCGATTCTAAATTTTCGAGTTCAGGTCGGGCTCAGGCTGGGCCTTATGTGTTTTATTTTATTTTATGGGTAGGGCTGAGAGTTCGATTGTTAAAGCTTGAGCCCACCCATTGGGTCAGGCCTCAATGGGATTGATGGGCCGAGCTCGCATGGACCTAAGCGGCCGGCCTCCCATGGGCCTTATTTTTGCTAAGTTTTTTTTACAATTCTTTTAGGAAACATTATTTTGAAAAAATTAACTAATCCATAACAAATGTAAAATAAAATTAAAAAAATTATTATTTCATAGAACCTATCACATTATTTCATAAAACTTTGTACTTTTAAAAAATATAAAAAAAAAATAAAAAAAAGCTCTCTGTATGTAGCTTGTATTGTAACGTAAACTTTTTTTTCTTCTATGGACATGGCCCACTTGTGGATATTCAAAGTGAGTTGACCAACCATTGGTAACTTTATAGTCATTGTGGCTACTAGGGGTGAGTGTGATTTGGTTTTCATCTCAAAACATAATCGAAATCAGTACTATTTAATCAGTTTGGTTCAAACTGGTTATAGTCTGGTTCGGTATGGTTTTCACTTCAATAAATAAATAAGCACAATCTATCCAATCCGGTTTGGTTAGGTGTGAAACTAGAACCGAAAACAGTTTAAACCGATTAGATCTGGTTTAGTGCTGGTTTATTGACTCTTTTGGTCAACTGGTTTTTGTTCCGATTTTTTCCATCCGGTTCAACTCGGTATTCTGATTTTTCGATCCCGATACCCAACCCTAGTGGCTACACCAACATCACTTATGTTTTGTCCTCCCAAAAAAAACATTACCTGAGAGAAGAAGAAAGACCCACTTTTTCTTTGTCTTTTTAACTTTTTGTTAAGACCTTTTATTTTTTCAGCCCACTTTAATATTAAATACAATACTAGATTAGGCCCAAGATAGTATAATGGATTAATTGGCTTATTTACTATTTTATCCCCCAGAAATGGGCGTTGGGCATTTTAGTAATTTTAGCTATTAAAGAACTTTAAAATTCAAATTAAATAATAATAAATAAATATTTTTTATAAAAAAAAAATTTGGGTTAACAAACCCCCTTCCCTTTCTTCCATTCCCCGTCAGCTCCCCTCACCTCCATCTTCCCCCTCTTCCTTTTCCCCCCACCCCTTCCCCCCACACCCCCC